TATATATATATATATATGCAATCAGGAAATAATACTGGAAAGTTATTTGTATTCCTCTTTACAAAATATAATTTTTATGTTTTCTAATAATACTGTGTAACTTCATATGTGAAACTACGGCTTTTTCATAGTTTCATCTTTTTTGTTTCAGTTTCCAGCCACATATTGAGGAGTGTGTGAAACAAATGGGAGAAATTCTTAGTCAGGTTAAAGGAACTGGAAATGTGCCTGCCAGTAACTGCAGCAGTGTGGCCCAGGATGCTGATAACGTATTACAACCTATACTGGACCCACTAGACAGCAAGTAAGAAAAAAAAAAATAGAACTAGAAACATTACAGAATGGGTTATGGGCAATTACAATAAGGGGTTACAGAGAAATATGATTTATATTATTGTTGTTAGATGTCAAAAAATATTTATTGATTTGGGGGCCTATTTAGAAAGCAGTGAATGTGACATTCACCACACATTCTCACGTGGGTAATCAATTCCCTGATTTTAAAACAAATTGCAAGCATAATAGTTAAGTGCAATGAGTATTTGGTAAATGTTGCATTCACTGCCCCAAGATGTCTATGTTATCGGAAAGACCGTATTTTTAGATTAATTTGGCAGACGTGCAGGAGAAATTACCACGTTGGCCCAGCACAGTCAAGTTTGCCCAATGTTTTTCTATTACTAAGTATTTACATTTGTTTACTAAATACTGTACTAGGTAAATAGTATACAATTAAGGGAATTTATCAATGCTGGAGCAGACAAAATCTGGAGCAGTTGTCTATGGCAACCAATCAGCCTCTTTCTTTCATTTTCAAATCTTAACTGAACAAACTAAAGAGAGAATCTAACTGGTTACCATGCAAAGCTGCTACAGATTTTGTCTGCTCCAGTTTTGATTCCCCCCCAATGTGTATGAACATAAGTGTAAATACTACTATCCAAAGGAGACCTATGTAGGCTTGGAAACAATAATTATTCAAATAAATGTTACTCTAATGCATGTCCACGTTATTACAAAGAAACAACACCTAGTGGTTTTCAAATTCACACTACCTCATACAGTAAACGAGATCTAATAAATAAATCAATCTATGCAAAACGCCTACAAACATTCCATTTAGTTTCTACAAATGACACACTTTAAAACCTAAAAAAAACATAATGGAGGGCCCCGCACATTCATGTAATAATATTAGGGTAACACAATCTTCCGTAACCATTGCATAATTTCACATTTGTATAATATAATTATAATGTGGATAACATATATGGGACAATGGCAAATTATCCCATTCGATGATTGAATATTATTATACAATTCTACCTACCATAGGCATTGTTTATTCGAAAGTTATTATTTTGCACAGGCCCCAAGACATTCAGGGGTCTATTCACGAAGCTGCCAAAGGATCTGCCCGTAGCTTCGGGTGCTGTACGGGCTATTCGACAGCCTGCTTCTGACAGCTGGGCGGAGCCAGCCGTGATCTTACGGCTGTACATGCGTTGTTCAAAAATATTTTGTGCAATTTCTTCCTCCTGAAGTGCACTCATATAATCAGTCCCGTTAGTCTTCCACAATGATAGATATAATATTAGATTTTACATGCATCCAACTCCACATATGTATATATGTTTATAATGATATAATGCTGAGCATGTTCGGCCGACCCGAAGACCCCACGAAGCAAGCCCATGTACGGCTGAAATTAGCCGTACCAGCCTGAAGTGAATAGCCGAAAAGTGTTCGGCTCACTTCACTTCAGATCGGTCATTCACTCGGCTGCCCTCGGCAGCTTCGTGAATAGACCCCTCAGAGATAATCCACAGGTTTGCATGTCCAAGAAACACATAAAAGTTATTTTATGAAATATTGATACAATCAGTGTTTTTTCTGATGGACAAAATAACAAAACTCAATCATAGCAGAAAATCGAAGCCCACTGAGTCTTCCAGGGTAGTCACAATCTACATCCTGGGTAGGTATAGTCCTACTGAAGAACCAGATGACTACGTATGAGTAAAACCCCACATATTTTGTTGTTCTCAAATGTATGTCCTTCCATTAGGCAGATACAAATGTAGTTGAAGTCAGCGTGTTTGCATTGCATGTTGTTGAAATTAAATTCATACTAATACAGTGGTACCTATTATAATGGTAATCTGAACAAACACAGTTTGTGAAAGCAGACATAAATAGACACTCAAGCTGTATAAGCATGAATGAAAAATAAACCTGCATTGGTTACTGTTATGGATGATTTCACGTATATCGAGAACTTCTAGCCCAATATAAAACCCCAATGCTAATGCACAAACAAAAAAATTGTGTGCTTGCATGGGAGTTGCGCACACGTATATGTTCTTCACATGCATTTACAGAGCTGGAGCCCAATAAATATCATAAAGTCCCTCAGGCATTCCATAGTAAATCCCATAGTAATTCCCACAATGGTGTTTGCCCCATACTATAATCATGGTAGTACTGTGTTCGCTTACTCTATTATGCTACAACCAATCAAGAGCCTTGGTCTTCACTTGATTTTTAGAAGACCAATTCCCCAAAAACATTTTAATTGTTATTTTGGTGCTCTGAAAATCAAAAGTTCTTTCAGTAACATTTTCAACTAACTCATTTTGGTGTATTGGTACAAACTCTGACAGTGAAAGTGTTGATCATAATGCAATTCTAAATAATTATCTGCCTTCCTAGAAATGTCCTCTTTTCTCCTTAGCCTTACCCTGTTTGCTAAAATTTGTGAAAAGACTGTTTTGAAACGTGTTTTGAAGGAGCTTTGGAAACTAGTGATGAATACAATGGAGAAAACTATTGTACTACCACCACTAACAGACCAGACGGTGAGTGTTTAAAATCCAGTCAGCATATTCATCTTCTGCTTTCTTGGTACATGGTACTCTTTCTGTTCCATAAAAAGATGACAATTTTTATCACACCACAGTGTGCCCATTATTTCAGAAAAGTGTAAGGCAGTGAAAGGTGAATGACTGCATTAAAATCTTGACAGTCTGAAAACTGAAAGCCAAAATAAAACAAAACAACAAACTACTTGATGAATCTTTGCCTGCACTGTCCTTGTTGTAGTGCTTACACTATATCTGTACTGTCAGATCTGCTGCACTTCGCTTGAAATGCTACATATTGCTTGGTAGAGTTGTATCATTACCCATCAATAATCTCTAACTTTGTTTTGATGGTTTGGTTTTATTTTTATGTTTCTGCCAGGCAAGTTCTAATGTAGTTAATGTAGTTCATTTAGCTCTATATCTGATCCTTAGCGTGTTTGTACTAAATAATCAATAGGGCATCTGTACCCAGCTGCGTAACTGAGGCTACCTCTAAACATGATAATTATGCTGATCCTGCCTATATTGAACATAAAGAGAAGTGATAATATGTCCTTGGGTGCACTGCGACCTCTGCAGAAGCTGCCTGGCCAACAATCTCAGTGGGAAAGAAAACAATTCTCCTAAATGTATTTTCAGTGGATGTAGTGTTTTCGAAATGAGACCTGGTCTAGCAGAATGTATTTAATGCATAAACAATGACAACAAGAAGACATGTATTAACATAATTAACATAGGAGACCTGTATTAACATACTGCACCAAAATTCAGGAAGCAAGTCATAATGACTAGGCCAATAGCTAAATGTAGATTAATATACCATATTAAGATTAAGATACCATAATATTATAAATACATTTTATGCCCAAATTATTACATACAGTTTGCACCATATAAATACTTCTAAGTATAAAAATGCATGATGTGAGTTTGGTGCATAGTGCATTACTGCTCAAAACAGCATGCATGTATAAAATATATGGAAAGATCTTTTGGCAACAAGATCGTAGGACCACTACTCATGTCTACAGTTAGTCATACAAGAAAGATATTCCTAATAATTTTTTTATAGTGTAATGTCTCATGCTGCATGTGCTTTATCAACTGTGATAATCCCTATGCTTTTTATCAGTTAGAACCAGATGACAATTACTCAGCCAAACAATAGTAATAAGGAAACCTGTACTGAGAAAGTATAGGAGCTGTCTTTGCTAAACTGCCTTTCAGAAAATTCTAGTGCTGATCCAGTGGCAACAGTGTTTTTACTGACATGTAACGTGTATGCAGATAAGGATCTCTGACTTCCCTCTTATGTTTCTGATATACATGCTTCTTTTGGTTTTTGTTTAACATACTTAGATTGAGGTCTGCAATAGTAGCCTCTATGTTTCTCTCAGTACATGTTTCCTAACAGTATTCCACTGTGACACCCCAGATAGGCTAACCACTTTCATGGTGATCTGATATAGGGGTCTATTCACGAAGCTGCCAAAGGATCTAGCCGTAGCTTCGGCTGATCCTTTGGCTAGCTTCGGCCCCAGGACCCCTTTGGTTCAGTAGAACTGAAGGGGTGCTGTATGGCTGGCCGAACAGCAATGAGTAGCCTGCCGGAGGTTCGGCTCAGCCGATCCTTCTGTCGAACTCCTTCTGCACTTCGGGTCAGCCGAACATGCTGAGCATGTTCGGCCGACCCGAAGCCATGCGAAGCAAGCCGATGTACGGCTGATTTCAGCCGATATACGGCTGAAATCAGCCATACAAGCCTGAAGTAAATAGCCGAACAGTGTACGGCTCACTTCACTTGGGGTCGATTGTTCACTCGGCTGCCCTCGGCAGCTTAGTGAATAGACCCGATAGTGCTGATTGGCCAACTCTCTTAATTCCTGATTAACCGGTTAAGCTCTAGAGCCATTTTTACATTTTAGCTATTGGCCTACCTATTTGATAATAACTGTGTCCTTAATTATGATACAAATGTTATTCATATATTGATTTTTCCTGGGGACAAACAAGACTTTCTTTTGATAGAATTGTTTTCCAAGGATTTTTTTTTATAATCTGTCCCTTTTATCATGAATCTAAAATGTTGTTTCTGATACAAAATGTTAACTTTTGTCTATTTGTTAATGCTAACACTACAGAGTTTGAACAAATCAAACAAATTAAATGTATAATGACATGACAATTGTATAAATATACTTGTATGTGGACGGTCCAACCTCTGGTAAAACTATATCATCGAATAACCTATATCATGAAGACAAAAGGACAATTTAAGCAACTTCATGAATAGGTGACTGAAAAGCAGATTCAAAGTCAGAGGATGGATACAAGAAAAGTCACTGAATATCTCTTAGAATACAGTTAAATCAATCATTAAGAAATTGAGGGTATGACAGTTGTAAATCTAAAGAGAAAAGTCCATACAAAAAGTAGTCTAGTGGGGGAAGCCACGAAGAGATCTGTAAGCATGCTGAAGGAGCTAAAAGCATCAGCAGGTGAGACTGAAAAGTTTATGCAACGACTATGTTTCACAAGTCAGTTTTATGGGGGAGTGGCAACAAGAAAGCCACTATTAACAAAAACCCACATGACGTTTAACTTACAATTTGTCTGGAGGCACATGAAATACCTTGATGATGGGGTGATGTGACCAAAATTGACCTTCTTGGCCATCAGCCTAAATGCAAAGTTAGGGGGAAGCCAAACACTGCACATCACCATAAACAACACCAACCCCCACTATAAAGCATGGTGGTGACAATATGGAGTAGGATGCTCCTCTTCAGCAGGTACTCAAAGGCTTGTGAGAGTAAAAGGTAGAATGAATACATCAAAACAGGGAAATTCTGGTAGAAAACCCAGTGCAGTTTGCACGAAACTGAGACGAGAGTCTACTTTTGTTGATCAGTGTCAAAAAAGATCATAGGTGAGTATCTTCCCACCTATGGTGGACCCTCTTGTCTCCCTGTCAGGGTGTGGCAACATGTGGCATTACCCAGTTTCAGCCATTCTGGGAGTGTCGCTTCTGTGTCCCTTGTGGTACATGAAGTGGATAATGTTGACTCCGCACAAACACAAACCTTCAACCCTTATATGTAACCAATGGGTCTGCACATTGGCATGTGTAAACCTGATCCAATATAGAGGGTTTAGTGATAGCAATAATCTAAACAGTGCTAAGAGTGAACCTCTATATTGGATCAGGTTATCACTAATACAGTATTTCGTCATTAGAGACAATCATGGTCTCTTCAACTTAGATTGTAAGTTGTCTTTCACGTTACAATTCACTTTCACACTGACCAAGCGCAACTTGCTTGCCATAAGAGAGATACACACGAATATAGTTGCTGCTGGCCCTTCCTTATTTAGATATCCACTCCTAACGCAGTGTTTCTTGAATAATAAACACGTGAGATTAATAACATGCTGGATTAATGTGATCCTAGTTCATTTTATTACTTAATTGCTGTGCTGTATGTGTATAGGCCAATGTAGTTGGATCTGTATGTTCGTTATAATTAATCGAAATTAATCGATTAATTGATTTAAAAAAATTTCTATTAATCGAACACGAAAATTTTAATCAGTAACAGCCCTACAAAAAATATATATAAGAACATGGCAGCCATATCGTATATAAAGTGTAAGAACAATGTTTCGATATATGAATACATTGCATTGATCCATTGTTAATGTCAACACAATGAACTTGCAAAGCTACAAATCTATGTATCTTAAAAAGTATGTCCATAGAAGATTCTGCTAGTAAGTACAAAAACTTGTAACTGTAATAAAAAATATGTTTAGCCATGAAGGCAGTTTTTGCCATTAATTTGTTGATGGTTTTAAATATCATGATTGTTTTACATTCATGAGGTGTTTTGTTGAGTCTGTTTAAATTGGTTTATTGGGAATTTGTGGATTACAGAAACTGCTAATATTCAGATGAATAGTCATAATATTAAAAGGCATGAAGTTTTATATCAGAGTCTTTTACAAATATAAGTAATATTTAAGACAGTTTGAGACAGAACATTTATTCTGAGCAGTGTGGTTTTATTAACTGACTATCTGACTGCTGTTTATCCCTCTCTGCTCACCAAACATGCAGATGATAGTAAGTAGATGTCCTGTGTATCTGTCTGACCTCAGTTGGCTGGTTTATGTCACAGCTGCTACCTTCTCCTTTTCTCTTTCTGCTCTGGTCTCATGTCTATCAGCTGTATTTGTTGCTGTCCCTACTACCTGTAACACTTGGGTCACTTCTTGCTTTCACTTTCCATTTCCTGATGTACACATTAATACAATACATTAATAAAAATGTTCAGCAATGTAGACTATTACAACATCTGAATGACACTACATCTAAATAATTATTAGAGACAGAGCATTTACCAGGTAAATTGGATACAGAAAACTTTATGCATGGGTGCCCAAAAAAGACTGGCAGTCTTAAACTGGATATAGGTGAGGTGGGTGGGATATAAGACAGGTGAGGGCAGGTAGGTTGTTACCGTCCCTCGTGAACTAGTAATTGGATTCTTTGTAGCCTTGTCATCTTAGGAGTGTTAAACCCCACCATTTACCAATTTACTATTCTAAATTTGACACATATACTATCCAAAGACATTTGCCATTCTACATTGGCCTGCCATAAATAACTTGTAAACAAAAAATAACCTTGTGCCTTGTGTAAAGTAGATCTAACCTGTGCCTGGATGACTTAAGCTTTCTAATGTAACTGACATATGTTTTTTAGTGATGGGCGAAATGCCTGGGCTTGGTTCTTGGGATGTTCATCAACCTCATCATAATTTCCTGAAACTGCAGACTTTAATCCGAACTAATTGAAGTCAATGGCTTTGAATCTGGAGAATAATTTCTGGCTATTTTCAGGGCAAATAAGCAATGATTGTCAAACAAAGGGCATGGGGGCTGGGCACTGCGCTGGGAGACATGTACCAGTGGCAAAAAAAAGTTTTAAAAAGTACCATTCAGCAGGGAAAAGTGCCTCCTTTAATGCAACTTTGAGGACAATGTTGAAAAAACCCAAATCCTTTTAATTACTGCTTGGGAGATGCCTTTAAATTGTATTTGGTGTTATTGAACAGTACAATTCTCAAGTTCAGCGTCAGCGACAACGTTTACTGACATAAGTTACAAAAAATTCATCTTTTTACTTTTTAACATTATTTTTTGGCTTTAATATTGCTGCAGCAGCACCCCAATCTGATTCATTATTATAATTATAAAAAAATTGCTTTTTTAGGTAGTTGTGGATGCGACACCTGACAGTATTGACACTGTAACAATCAGTAACAGGTATAAATTGACAGATGAGAGTAGCAGCCAGCCACAACAGATCGCACAGCTGTAGGAAATTCAACCCTAAAACATTAAAGCTTAAATCCTTAATTTCATACAAAATAGCCAGTGGTACAACAGTTTGATAGTACAGTTAGGGTTGTTTTTATTATTGCAGTACCACCATTTTCCAAACTTTTTAATAAAATGTGAAAACAGAGTGCACCAAAACACTTCAAAACCACAGCTCCACATTCCCTGAACCTCCTCTTACATCTCCATATCCCCAATTATTCCCTAAATTTGTTTTAAATAGACCTCAGATATGCATTTGGTAGAAAAATGGCTAGTGTCAGGATAGAACACAAGCACTGGGGCACAATGCTGGAGCTGGTGGTGCTGCCCTGTGTCCTGTACCTTGGTGAAAATGACATCAGGGTTAACTCTTCTTTTTAATTGCCTCGGGTGGTCTCTTCAATGGCCTCGGGGGTTCATCCCCCCCTTTCCCCCAAGTGCCCTAGAGCCCATTCAGTGTCCAAGGCAAAACACTGACTTTTGAGGTCAGAAGAGTGTGTGGCTACTTTACGAGATCATAGCCACTGAGTGTTCTCCTGGCAGAAATGCAGCATCAACACAATATGCTATAGGCCATGCACCAGGGCTTCTTGTTGACCATGTTGCAGCACCAAACACCTTGTCACCATCCCAAGAGGGAACCAGAATGGTATTCCTGCTAGATCACACAGTGCATGGTGTAATAGATTTGGTACTGGAGAAAGAGCAGTTGGAGAAAGCGGAAAACCTACTGTCTCAGGGTCAACAAGATCCTTTGCTCCTTTGAGGAGAGGAAGGTTATGGTGCTATGGATGAGGGGTAGGGTTGTGGTGCTGGCAAAGAGGAGGAGGGCTGTTGGTAGTGACAGTGAGGAGGAAAATATGGGTTTCAAGGGGGACATTAAACCCCTTCTCAATCCAAGGGAAGAATCTTATAGAGATCTATGCTAAGGCTGCCCACCCTTCCAAGAGTCTTCCGTACATGCCCTACAATACTTATTTTTTTGGAATGCATAAAGTATGTATTATGGCTCAATTATTTCCACTATTGGATTATTATCTGTAGGTGAGTGGAACAGCTGTGGGCAGAGCATGTTCTGGGTTGTGCCAACCTCTTCATGAATTATTGGGAGCAGTTCGTCATTTAGTTCCCAGAATCCTTTTTTTTAGAAAACCTCCCCCTCTACACTCTGTGTATTGATAACATCCTTATTCTTTAGATTGTAGTGATACATTTATCTAATTTGTGGATTGTGTAGTGATGTAGTATTTTCCTAAATTCCTTTTTGTATTTTTGTGATCTAATGGTGAGATGTCAGTCAGCTTAGCTGTGTGTTGGTTGGTGTTCTCTAATTGTGTAGTTATTATCTCAGTCACGTACTGTGTTGAATTTGCTCCAGCAGCGTGTGCTAATACCTGGCCAATCAGCAGGCTTGAGGGGCATGCCATGCATGCTGGAAGTGTTATCAAGAGGGTTATTCACAAAGCTGCCGAAGGCAGCCAAGTGAATAACCCACCCAAAGTGAAGAGACCTGAACGCTGTTCGGCTATTCACCTCAGGCTTGTACGGCTGACTTCAGTCATACATCGGTTGAAATCAGCTGTACATCGGCTTGCTTCAGCTGGCTTGGGTTCAGCCGAAGTGCAGAAGGAGTTCGACTCAGCCTATCCAACATCTGGATCGGCTGAGCCGAAGCTCCGGTAGCTCACTCGCTGCCGTTCGCACCTATTCACATAGGGGCCGAACAGCAGCGAGTGAATAGACGAATGCCACCAAGTGGCATTCGGCTTGGCTATTCTGCTTGGTACCTCTGTGGTACCGAGCAGAACAGAAAGTCAGTGAAAAAAGTTGGGGGAAAAAAGCAGAAAAAAAAAGGTTTAAAAATGTAAATAAATGATCAATTTAAAAAAAGTAAGATTTCTTTAGAAAAGAAAAAAAACAATTGGGGCGGAGCTAGCAGTGACAGCTAGCTTCACCTAACTGTTTCCTATTGGCTGGGACAAGCTAGAGTCTTCTAGCAGGTTGCCGGCTAATGAATAACAACTGGGCGGAGCCAGCCATTATTCGCTCCAAGCTCATGAACTAAAATGAGATTGTAATCCATACATGTGAGCTTGGAGCGGTGAGCTTGGAGAGTGAGCTTGGAGCGGTGACTACTTTACAACACACACAGGAACCATGGGGAACAAAAGTAGCCCCCCTCCAGAAGAAAGGATAGTGCCACCAATTCAGAGATGATTGGAGGATCTACAGCCGAGTGAAAAAGAAAATGTTACATTTTTTTACAATGATGTTAATAGGATATTTGAGCCGGCCGTGACTTCATGGCCGTCTCTGCCCAGTTGTCATGGTAACCTGGGGATGCTGATCTGTCATTGCAACTGGGCGGAGCCAGCCTTAAGATCACGGCTGGCGCCGCCCAGCTGTCAGTTGCAAGGCTTTCGACTGTCCAATGTCCGGCCGTTCGCCCCGCTTCAGGTGTCACTTTGGCTCAGACGAGCCGAATCATATGCCTTCGGCTCGGCTAGCTTCGGGAGCTGTACGGTCTATAGTGAATAGCCCGTACAGCAGCCCTTCGGTTCGACTAAACCGAAGGGCTCCGGCAGCCGAAGCTAGCTGAAGGATCAGCCGGAGCTATGGCTGATCCTACGGCTAGCTTTGTGGATAACCCTGGCACAGGGGTCTTCCCTCCAGGCTTTCACCCTGAGAGGATGCATCTCTCTTGTCCTCAGGCCTTATGGCCTAGGGCTGTTGGGAGTTGTAGGGATCTCCCCTAGGAGACCTCCCTGAAGTTACTGGTTGCCATGGAGTGCTGTGAGGCCTTGAGGAAGCAGAACTGCAGTTGTTTGTTCCCCACATGGAGGGGGTGAGTGACTGACTGAGTTGGGAAGTACCACAGGAATCTTTCCATTACGTAGTAGGTAAGGTTGAATAAAGACACAGGTCCATCTAGTTCAACCTAGGTTGTGTATGCGTGTCTGGATATACTTGGATCTAGCAGTTCCCATATCCTTGTATATTTAGTGAGCTAAGAAACTCATCTAAAAGATTCTTGAATAAATCAATGCTATCAGCAAATATTACTGACACATTTTTACTACTGGCAAAGTTTAAAAAAACCTTGCGCAGTCTAAGTGTAAACCACCTCTCTTCTAACCTCTTGCTATGTTCTCCTGTCATCAATAGAGTTCTCAGTATAAACATCTTCTTCTGGATATTGTGGTCCCCATTAATGATTTTGAAAATTGCAATTAGGTCCACTCTTAAGTACCTGTTATCTAAGGAGAACAAGTTTAATTTCTGTAGGCAATCACCGTAACTCAGTCCTTCCATCCCCTTTATTCATTTTGTAGCCCTTCTCTGAACTTTCTCAATTTCGAGGACATCTATCCTAAGATTCCATGACCTTTCCATTGTCATTGCCACTCCTGTCAAAGGATCTATGAATGGAGAAACTACAAGTCCCATCGGCCACTGTAAAAAAGAGATACTTGTAGTCCTCAGTGGAATACAAGTGCGGTGAGGTCACTGAACTTGTAGTCTATTGACATTTGCTCTGGTCCACGTTACTACATGTCCGTGCCTTGGGCATCTTTCAGGAGCCAGAGCATTGCACCTGTAATCTTATTTCATCTTACATCTTATATCAATTTAAAACTATTTTTTTGTTTTATATAGAGTAGGTATGGATAATTGTTGTTATTGCTGCCTGAGTCCCTACTGGGGAGATTCACCCTCACTATTTGTCCTGGTAATAAT